TTGTCCTACAATCAAGGGACTCGTCCTCTGCATTTGGGAAATTATGGCCCCTTTTTTGGGTACCCTAAATATTAGGTGCCGTATTACAATAAGGACCCAAAAAGGGACCCTAATTTCTGGTGTTTGGGGATTCGGGATTCGGTGTTTGGTGGGTTTGGGCATTTGGTGTTTAGGGGTTCCGGGATTTGGGCTGTAGGGGTTTCGGGATTTGGGGTGTAGGGGTATCGGGATTTGGGGTGTAGGGGTTTCGGGATTTGGGTTTTAGAATTGATGATTTCGGATTGAGCGTTTAGCTGCTGGGGTTGAAGAGGAACTGTTGCTACAAGGGTTCCTTGTATTCCTAGAAGCATTGCAGAGCTTAGGGGTTTTGGGGGGTAGGGTTCGTGGATTTATGTCACAGGCTTCAAGCTTTGCATTTCTAGGCTTAGTGTCCGGGCTTCAGAAGGCTTAAGGAGCTCTACTACCGACCTTGCTAAGCGGCCTTGCCTGCACCTTCAGAACAGCCCCTAAATGGACAAAGATCGTACAGCGAAACCTGCAGATAAATTCGTCAAAGAGTGGGACCCTGCGAGACGCCTGCGATGTTTCCAGGGCTGTTTCGACGAGAATGCAGCCGACGAGGGTCTGGTCTTCGTGGTGAGAAGAAGGAGCAAGAGTGAGGCAACGCAAATGGGTCGGTCCAGATGACTTTCAAGGCATCAAAGTTGCGGTCAGAGGACATCTCTGGCTTTGCCTCTCCGACTTCGACAAGTACCAAAAGCCGCCAAGGAGGCTGCCGAAAGAAGAGGCGAAGCTCGAACGTACCACTTCGCGCCAGGCGGCAGCCCTGAAGAAACAGATGGATGTACGGGTCAAGCTCAAAAGCAGAGCAGATACACCTATGCTCTGGGGCGGACGTACAACCCCTGTTTCCTCCAGCACGTAGCCTTAGATGCAAAACAAATCACATGGTAGATGGCTCGATCATACTTGGTCAACTGGTGGGTTCTATCTATTTGGGCTACCGAGCTTCTAGCAGGTGCACCCTGACACGGACCCCGTGTTAACACCTTTAGGCTATAGGGTTCGAAGGGTTACGGCCTCGATCCTTGTACTTTAAATGTAAAATCCTGGACGAAGCCTTATAAAACCTTAGATTTTATGCTCCGCAACCCCTCAACAACCCCTTACGCCTTTGTCCCGAAACCCTCACGACTAGACTGACTAGACCAAACCAGACCGTACTGTAAGCCTGTTACTAGACTGCAAAACCATACCTAAAGTCTTCAATGTAGCTGCTATTCTGTTGATATCCACCAGTAGGATTTTACAACAAGCAAAATACCCGACAACAGGAGCTACAATGGAGACTTTCGGTAAATTTGAAACCGGGCAAACGCAACTGAGGCTGAGCTGCACTGTCACTCTGGAGCAGACCCGACGACCCTATGTAGTGACCTAGACCCCTGATCAATACGCAGCCTCGCCTAAATTGCCTCAATGTTCGGATCCCGAACACAGTCCTAGCATAGTCCCTTTCAAGGTAGCCGGTTTCTTGTCCAGTATTTTGGTATTTGTTCCCTAAAGCCCTTCTAGCTAGGCCCTTTCACCTTTCCCTAAATTCTCCCTTGTAGTTATAAATTGACTTAGCATCCTACATGGTAATTAGCCCTAAACCCCTAAACCCTAAACCCCAAAACCCCAAAACCCTAAACCCTAAACCCCCCGGTAGGGTCACCTTCCAACCAAGGACCGCCATCGGTCACCGCAGCCTTGCTGATGCCCTTCACGTGAATTCCGTGCTGGTGGGATGTTTCTCGCAAAGGTAATACGGGGCGGGGTTTAGCCTGTTGGGTTTTGGGTTCATCTTTCAGATGGGGAAGGATGAGTGATGAATAAAATGGTGGGAAGGCTCAATAAGGTTTACAGGGGGTTTGGTGTGTGATTGGGTTTAGAATTAGTTATTGTCAGGGTTGTACTTTCAGGAACGCGACTTCACATTATGCTTGTGGTCAGTGCTGAAGGAAGGGGCTTGGGTAAAGTGCAGCATGTAGGCTGTCGACAGGTTTCGGAATGTTAGGCTTGACAGAGATGCTTCCACATAGACGGTTTTATTTATGGCTTTGCGGATCCTGAACTCTAGCCGCAAACCCCAAGCCCTAAACCGTATGATAAGCCTTCGCGTCCTCAACCCTTTTCAATCACAACCAGGGACACTACAGCCCAGAGCCCATCCGTGGTGTGGAGTAGGACCATACGTATAAATCCCAGCACTCGATTTTCTCCAGTACATCAAGATTGGACGTGAACAAACGTTTGGTTAAGGCTTGAGCCGTCAATGGCCGAACCCCTTAACTCTGCCATGCCTTGGCTCCTCATAGCATCCGCTTAGGGTTCTTTGGTTTTGAAAGTTTGCTCGAAGAAGATTTCGAAAAGGAGTTTGTTGCTGACCTTTTGCAGAGTAGAATGCGTGCATGTGCTTTGCATGGTGTTAGAAGGACAGCCTGGCGTATTATCAAGGCTTAGTCCGATCCCTAAATCGTAAATCCTTGCAACTTTGTCATAGTTTGATAACATTTTACATGTTTATGGGTACTTAAACCCAATAAGGAATAAACATGTACATTTTAATCCTACCCCAACCATGAACTAGGCAAATTCACACTCCCGTCTCTGAGCTGATGGTCAGGAGAAGGTGTTCCTCGACCGGTGCGACCACAACGACACTTGGATTAATTTCAGGGATGACTGGGCAAGGTTTCAGGGCGTAGGGTTTAGGGTTTGGGGGTTTAGGGTTTATGAATCTAGGTTGTAAGGTTGCAGGATCCAGGTTTTTTCGTCAAATGACGAACTTCGCAAGCAGGATATAGTCAGAGCTATTGTGAGAGTTACAGTTGTTGCAACAGGCATATGTATATAAAATCTCCAAAGAGCACCGTGGTTCCATGGACACCCTCGGAACTTGCCCGGAATCCCCGAACGCGCCCCAATCAGACCAAGAATTGTGCTGAAGACCCTAGCTTTCCCTGAAAGACTGGGAGACCCCTTACTTCTCATACCTGCAGCTGAGTAGCTGAACACTCCAGACTACCTGAAGCCTTCAAGATTCTTGGCCCCTGCATTGGACCTTATTAAGCCTAAATGCTAAACCCATAATATAGCCATTATATACCCATTATATAGCCCATTTATTATAGAGCAGGGCTCCGAAACCACCTGGCGTAGAGCTCAGTCTTACCTCGCGCTATAAGGTCCCCTTTGTCACGTAGAGACGGCACATTCAGCCTTCTTCTTCGGCCTGCGGGTTGATGATTCTGCACTCGAAACCCCAAGCCCCAAAGGCCTTATCCCTACAGTCCCAAAACCGAGACCCTGAAGCCTGAAAGCTAGAAACCTTGTCCTAAACCTCACACCCTGAAACAAAAACCAAAAAATCCACCACCACCACCACCACCACCAGCACCAGCACCAGCACCTCCATCGCCACCACCACAACGTAAACCGTAAACTCCACTCAGGACTAGGCCTTCAAGGTGTATTGAGCTCTCGATCTGAGCACCCAAGGATCCAAGCATGTAACTTCCTCAATTACCATCTTAAAGTTCCTGCTACCCCACGTATCTAACTTCCGACTTGTTCGATTTTGGACCCTTAGGAGAAGCCGGAAAGGTCTTCCGGACCCTTCAAAGAAGCGCAAAGAAAGCTCTGTAGTCTACTGAAAGCGTTAACCCTTACAAACCCCTTCCAGCCCTGTCCTGATGAGCCTCTTCCTTCTCTTTGGTAGACAGCCCAGGACTCCGACAACGGCTGCTACTCGCTTATAGTGTCCCTGCCCGGAAACACATCCTTGAGGTGGCATGGGGGAGTTCCCAGCGACTCCAGTAAGAGTCTTGAGTGTTCGGATCTTGTGTTCTGTAGGATGTACAATGTTCTTCGGGGTTTGGGTTTGGAGCTTGGGGTTTGAGGCTTCATGGCTTTGGGTTTAGAGGCTGGGGCTGGTTTGGGTCCCTTACCAAACGGGATCCCCGTGTTGAGGACGAATCGTTCGGTTTCGAGCAGCGGCCCCGAAGTTCAATTTAGAGAGTCACCCAAGGGGTCCTTTGTACTGTTATGGGGGATACCCAGACCTTCCAAAATCCCTTAAATAAGGAATATACCTTAAATCATATTAAGGATCCTACTATAATTTAAGGTATATTCCTTAATTAAGGGGTTTTGGAACGTCTGGGTACTTCCCTAAGTCATATTTGTAATTCCCAATATGGAAACCCCACATTCTACTATATCGGTACATAGGACCCTTTGGGTTGTTGTTTCTAGGACAACAGCATACTGAGGCGCGTGGAGACTCTCAGAAATTCTGGGCACCCCGGCAAGTGCTCTGATACACACACATCCATCAGGCGTCATCCAGGCAAAACGACCGCAAACGAAGCCAAGCCTAAACTTAGTCTTAGTCTGCGAACCCTTACTAAAACCTCAAGCCGTTTACCGAAATCCTGTCCTCCCGAACGCTTCTGTAGCCGCAAGCCTCGGAGGCATCTTAGTCTGCAGCACGCTTTGCTGCAGCAAGCCGGACTCACGACGCCCAGCAGCAAATCAGCTACGGTCAAGCGTATGAAGCACGCTAAGGCCTTATTACACATGGCACCCTACATCCGGATCATCGCTGGCCCCCCTTCACATGTCCTTGTGAAGTTGTCATACTCGCAATATCGTCGGTAGCTCACATTAAAGTGTTTGTGGTTCCACTTGCGGATGAACGGACGAACGTCTCGAAGCACATCTAGCTATTCGGCTTGACAGTGTCCGATCGCGGCTTTGTTCCCAGTTTTCCTTGGGCTAGTTAAGTAACTACTTGTTTCTTCAGACAGGCGTTTATCGTCATGGTTGCTATAAGTGGGGAAGGGGAAATCTAAAGCCGCTGGCTTCAATTGGGTCGACTTATGGTTCGAGCTTTTTTTTCTGAAGGAAGCCAGAGTAGACCGGGACCTCTTGGGCATCATCTTGCCAGTGACGCAATGTGCCGCCGATACCTCAGCTTCGTCACCCAGACTATGGACAAGACACTCGAGGACTATTTTAGTCTGTTCCGCCGCCTTGCGATGGTGGACTTGCTGCTTGTCGTCGCATATGGTGTGCAGGTCGGTATCAACATTTCGCTCCTGGTCGGCGACCCCGACACAGAGAGCTCCGTTGGGACGCTTCTGCTGGCGCTCGGGGTCTGCGTGGTCCTCATCTGGCTCTGCGACGCGGCGCTGGTGACGCTCTTCGGCTTTCGTGTGCTCGAGGCCTCCACCAGCGACTCCGTGCGTCCAGACAAAGTGCAGGATCTCATCCAGAGGAAGCGACTCTGCCTTGTGGTGTCCTCCTTGGGACTTGCCGTTTACTTGGCCCGATTCTCTGTGGAGCTGTGGCAGGCCAGAGAGCGAGGGCTCTTGGACACAATGTCACTGCCCACCTGCATCCTGGCGCTGGTGCTGCTTGTGAAGGTGCTGCGGCTGCTGGCATTGAACTCTTTCAGCCACTGGGTTAGGATCACAGCCGGCAATTCCAGCGTTTGACACACCGTCAACAAGTGCTGCACGCGCCTGAGTTTTGCCCAGCGGATGCCACATGAGCATCGGACTCTTCAGACGCACTGATCAGAGCCTGCCAAGATCTTACAAGGCTTCAATGTACGCTTTTCCGTGGGTGCTGTGCGTGTACATGTGTACAGCCTTTGTGCAGGCTCCTTACTAGAGTATTCCGAACACGCTGAGTCACCCCACGGCAGTGAGCGGCGACAACTGTAAAGCTCTCGCAAGAAACATGATTTGACGGAGCCTTGGGGAGGGAGACGGAGAGTGTGCACCTCACGTGGCAGGCCTGAATAATTGCCAGACTTATTCCTAAAAAGCGAACTACTGAATTAGGAACGCATTTTAGATATCAAGGCTCCCATGTTATATAAGCCGATGCTGGCAGTCTGGCCTTTTGTTGTCTTTGCACAGGAGCTGCTGAAGGATCAATGCAGCTGTTTAAGCTGGCCTGTATTGCCCTGGGAGTCCATGTGCCCATATAGTATATGGGACTTCTTTAAGGCCAAAGTATATACTATATAGAAACATGGACCCTGAGGGTTAGTCGAGGGCCAAATGATTGCTAGTACAGTTTCCCCAGGTGCATCATTATCGTATCATCTATCCCATACATTATTTTGCTTCTTCGGGCCCGTGCAGTATCCAGATAGTACGCCACAATTCTCAGAGTTTGCTTTTTGTCCAACGGATGGTATTGACTTGCTTTTGTTTCCGAAGATATAGTTGTAGAAGCGCTCGTGGGCGGAGCGTGTTCCTCGGACTGTGCTCCCTAAACCCTAAACCCTAAACCCTAAACCCTAAGTGCTCTATCCGGCCCCCTGTACTCCTGTTGTCAGTTCTGCACGGCCTAATTGTTCCGCACTGTGGACAACGAGAGCGTTGTTCCATCAACAGTCGAATAAGTCCAAGGACCAAAGGACCAAGGCACGCAACATGCAGACTTCTGACACCAAAACCGGAAGCACCACACCCTCAAGCAATTCGCCCCTACAGCTCTATACCTTTGTGCTGCCCTGAACCGAGGAATCTAGCCAAGGTGGTGGCTGTGAACAAGGCGAGAATCTAAGGGCTGTTGTTGGGAGGTTGCTGGGCTTCCTACATTGAATAAGTTCGCTGGGTCTGAGGGTCCATGTGGGTTGGTTGAATTGTAGCTCGGTTGGGCTTCTGGGATGTTCTCCTTGAAGCAAGCTGCATGGTAAAGGCAGGATCCCTACACCTATAGTCGTTCATAGAATGCATAACTCTCTGCTTTATATAGTACTATAATCTGCCCCAAAGCCCTATCGTAATCATCAAGGCCCCTATTAGTCTCTGCTCTATGTCCCAAGAATCTTGCCTCCGGGAGTTTAATTCCGAGAATGCGGACCAGGACTTTTCAAGCAATGGACCTGCAACCTTGGGAAACCCATGTGGGAGTTTCCGAAAATTAGGGGACCTTAATATAGTAGCCTAAATAGTAGGTTCCTTCCCAACATAAGGTACCCCTAAGTTTCGGTGACCCATGTAAGCAATGCAGTGGCCTGAGCCATTGCAGTTGATATCTGCAGGGGTCTATGCTGTGTATTAAACTGTTGATGACCTCCTGTTACGTGCTTAGTCTTCAAATCTACTTGACAGGACCATGTGTTAAGCAAACACGTAATTGAAGGACGAAGGGCGGGAAGCTCAGATGGTTCAGACGGTTGAGAGCTCACAGGCTCACAGGTCTAAGACCCCGAACAGGCAAGCCGATTCCAGCAGTTGACAGCTCCGCCATTGATCAATGCATGCAGTATGTAGGTGGTCGAAATACTAGCATCATGCCTGGCATTCCGGTGATGCACACAATCACACAAAGAGACACAAACCCACTCAGTCCTCCACTGATGCCCGGACTACCGTGTCAGAGAACCCTTTAAATCCCTTTTATTTGACATACAATCGTATACCCTCATTTTAGAACCCGAAGGATTTTCATCCTCAGGCCAGGCACCAAATCCGTGTAGCCTCGGCTTGAACATATCGTCTTCCTCAATGATTTCCTGCGAAGCTCTTGGTATTGCAGTCTTATGTAGTTCCTTGTTGGGGTTTGACGTGTTATTTACAGTCTTGCTGAATTACCTTCTCACGGAGAATGGAGTTTCAGAAAACCCAGAGGCATTGCGTTCTCTGAACCTTAGTGGCAACCTCTTTGACGAGGCCTGTTCGTACTGGGATTCAGGGAGTGTCGCGCTTCACGGATTAGGGCTTTTGGATAGGTATGGTATGATCTGCTCCTGTAAGCCTTGTTGTGCTCGGTTGACCGTATCGTTGGGAGGTCATAATATATGTATAAACATATACATATATATATATATGCATGTATATAGATATTATGTATACATACATGCTATACATACATACATACATGCATACATACATACATAACACACATATCACACATACGTACATAGACATACCAGTTTCTAAATATATATATATATATATATATATATATACAATATGTACACACATATTCATATCTCCATGATTTGATCGTGGTCATGGGGTTCTGGCTCTAGCCTTCGGCCGTTGGGTCTCAGGGTTTCAGCGGGTGTCAGGATATCTGCGAGCCTTCTTTTGATCTTTGGTGCCAGATTTCACTATGAGTTCCAGGGAGGGTTAGAAATTAGAAGCAGGGTTATACTCACGGCTTCTGATGGCTGTCTGAGAGAGCAAGCCAAGCTGCAATATTCCTCGAATTGTTCCTTTGTTTCATCATCCTTGTGGTACGAGTTGTATACAGCGTTTTTCAATCAATGAATCATACTCGAAGCATCAGTGTCCAGCAGTACTTCACAGCACTCGTGGTTGCTTACTCCCGAAGTTTCAGCTGTCAACGTCGATTCGACCGGACGCCCCTGCGAGTCTCATCCAGGGTGGTCGCTTGGAGGTTCGGGGCACCCGTAGCCCGATAATGATTGTTTTTTTTTATCACCTATAGGTGGCAATTAAGTTTGGGTGCCAGACAGTCAGCACCTCCGAGCAAGAATCACATGCGCAATCGACGCAGGGTTCGTGGAAACCCTGCCTGGATTACCGACCACTAGGCCCCACAACCCCAAACAAGAGCAGCTGAAGACAGAGTATCTTCACACCGAAGCTCCACTGCTTTAAAGGCAGCCGCTGCCGCGTGGGCCATCGTGTTGCGCCAGCTGGCATGCAAAAGCCCGAAATACCCCCGAAACTCGAGTTCGCTGTTCCTGATCTACCACTGGAGGTCCAAGAAATATTGTGGTTTCTCAGGGGCCCAACACTACATAAGCATATAAGCATTTACTGGGATTTCCCTACCTTAATGGGGTCATAAGGAGGTTAGTACGGGATATCCCTACTTTTTGCTTATTTCCCTGTTTGGGCGCCCCAGTATATCCTCTTGGGGCCCGAAGAACCCCTAAACCCTAGCTTCAAGCCGAGCCTCCAAAATACGGTGCCCTATTTTTTGGGACACTCCCAGGTGGGAATCGCGAGTTGAAACAGCTACATCTCAACGGCTGCCACCTGAATGCCCCTCGGACAGAGTGTTCTTTGCAATTCTGTGGAAGCGGTTTTAGGGTTTTGGTTCGGTTTGGGGTTTTGGGTTTTGGTTCCTCTAACCCTGATCTGGATCCGTTAAGCATACTTTGGTTATAGGATTCTAAATATGAACCCCAAAAAGGAACCACTTTGGAGCCTTAGGGTGGAGTTATGTTTTGAATTTCTCGCTCGGGCATGGTCTTGGCGTCTACTAGTACCTCGGTTCAGCTTCCTGCATGTCAGGTCGTCCTACAGTACTGACAGGGCCGGCATCATATATTCCCCAAAGCCCTATTGAAACTATGAAGGCCCCCATATATCACCCTAAACCCTAAACCTAAACCCTACTCCAAATTTCCTTCTGAACAAGTTCTCAGGGGGGCGTTTAAGGGTTTAGGGCAGTTTAGGGATTGGGGTTTAGGGCTTCGGGTTTCGGGTTTAGGGTTGGTTTAGTGTATATAGCATGTTACTTCCTCCGGGCTCATACAAACGCCACCATGAAAATCCAAAGTGTAGCAGCCCACTCTGTCGGCAATCGGGCTGCTACCCCAAAGCTTACAGCCTACCTGAAATCTGTATCGTACTTCCTTTCTTGGCTTGACCAGTTACATAATTAGGATACAAATCCGGAAACTCTGAAAAGGAAGTACAATGGAGACTGAAGGATAGGCCCTAGAAACCGTCAGCCCTTTGGGTGGAGTATGATGTGACTCTCTTCGGTTCAACACTAAACCCTAAACCCTACAGATTGATGTGAGTCTCTTTGCTTCCCAGGACGCTGCAGGCATCCACCTCGCCAACAGCCTCACCGAGAACGAAGGCCAGCCCCACTTGTTTTGTGCATTGAGGGCTTGACATTTAGGGTTCAGAATAAAAGGGCGTTCGGGGGTGTGACGGTATTTTCGTGAGGTTGGCGTTTTCGGGCTGCTAGAGCTCCGGGTACCGGACTAAACGAGCTAACGCCCTGAATCCCTCAGTTCGAAGCCGTGGGGAGGAGTTTTGAAAGATTATGCTTTAACATCATGCGGTCATTTAAATTGAGCTACGGGTCACGGAGCATTCCTCAATCCGGCCATGAGTAAGAAACCCTTTCTAGTTGCAGTTAGAGTTTGTGGAGCATGCCTTAATAAGGGAATCTGAGAGTCCCTGAACCTCTTGCAGCCCCTATGTAAAGCAATTCGCTTGTCCGGTAAATTCAAACCCGCAACCTCAACCGTCAACCGAGACTCCAGGACAGACCCTTAAAAAATGAACCCTTATATAGAGCACCTGAAAGGAACCCTGAGAGCACCCTTAAAGCGGAACCCTTATAGTACCTTTAAAGAAGAACCCTGAGAGTACCCTTAAAGAGGCACCCCTAGAGTACCCCTAAAGAGGAGCGCTTAGAGTGCCCTTAAAGAGGAACCCGTAGAGTGCCCTCAAGGAGGAACCCCAAGAGTACCCTTACA